AGGTATTTGTGCTTTCCCACCCTACTACCACCCTGGACACATTTTTGTTTAACACCACCCATCAAACCAAAAATCCTGCTTGTAATTAAGTAGAATAGGCTTTACACAGACCTGACTATAGCAATATCTGAATATGAATATGGTGCCACAGAACTAAAAGTATTTTTTTTAATCCAGCCTTATATTCCTTCTCACACATCCAAGTTCTATCCTGTCCTCCCCATGTCCCTTATACACCAACTCAATCTAGCTCCCATGAAAGTCAGTACTCTAATAATAAGAATTCTTTTGAGGGAGTTGGGATTGGGAGGGCAGGGGCATAGAAATGGGTAGGTGGACAGACTGAGATGGGGGGAATAACAAAATGGCTAACTTGGAAATCTGAATATTTTTCTTTTGTCCCCCCAAAATCTCAACCCTACTCCTGGGATTGAGGCTATTCTACTTACTTTTTCAAAAGGAAAAAAGTATAGACTGGGGAAAATATGTCTGTTGGTCTACACATTAGTTGGGAAAAGAAAAGAATGCTTCAGCATTTAGAAGCAGTTATTGAAAGAAGAAAAAGTAGAAGAGTTTGGTTAGTTACTACTGTCCTATCAAAGTCAAGCCCAATTTATACGAGCTTGTAGTACACAGGCAAATAATGTTGCATATTGCCTCTTTTAAAAAGTTTCCACTTAATACAGTATTTCGAGCCACTCACAAAATCTGAAATCACAGTGACCTGGATTCAAATCCTGACTCTGCTATTTATTCCAATGAAACTTTAATAAGTTATTTAACCTCTTGAGCTTCAGTTTCTCTTAAAAATAGAGATAATGGTGGGTAACCAAAGAGCCTCATTTAATAGATGAAAGCTATACTTTGCAAAAAAATACCAGCTAATAAATGTAAAAGGAACGACAGAATTAGGAAACAGTCATTTTGTAATCCTAATGAAAGTACTGATTCAGGCAAGAATTATCAACTAGTATTTAAAACCTTAAGGTAAGGGTTAATGGAGAGCTGAACATTCTTATGGTGCCAAAATAATATCATACAAAGGAACAGCTAATCTTCTAATGGAGGGGCCAGGCTGTCACCCACTTAATCAATACAGAAGATTTAAATTAAGCCTTTAAATCTAACTTACAGTTTATAGGAATATAGAAGAGAGAGAAATTAACTGAAGGACACCACAAGGAAGTAATAAGGCAAATCCAGACCCTTCAATAAGGCAGTATCATAAATAAGGAACTATGCTAGATTGAGAGATTTGACATAACAAGCAGTCAGTTATAAGGTGTAGTCCTGAACTGAATCCTGGTTTAGAGAGACCAGCTATAAAGGACATTTTTGGGGACCACTGGGAAATTTTAATGTGGACTGATACTAAGGAATTATTCTTTTTTTTTTTCTTTTCAGTGAAATACTTCTTGTCAGTACAAAATTATTCTTCGTTTTGTTAGGTGTAATAAAATATTTTTAGAGAAGAATATTAAAATATTCAGAAATGGAACATCATGATACATAGATTATAATATTTTAAATGGGGTTAAGAGCAATTAGTACTTATCACTAGATCCTTATGATTCTATGAAAATTCATTTAAGAGTTTAGCTCAATTTAGTTCAGCTCAACTGCTGTTATTCCCTTGTGTTAGAGAAAGACATCCTCATTTTCGGTAACTAAATTATATGTAGCTTTTCTATAATTTATTCACTATTTGAGAACCCCCTATACACTATGTAACAGGCCACATGTTAGGTATGCAGTGTGCAACTTGACTTCTCTAAAGGAGCTCATAGTCCATGACTGAACAGAGTATTATATAATTAATTGTTCTAAGGAGCAATTTTATAGAGGTTCCAAGAAAGTTTCAGAAAATTTGAGGGATGAATGGTAGTAGCCATGTGGACAAAGAGAAAGTACAGTGGGGAGGAGGTAATTTCTAGTAAATTTCATTTGATCATCACAACCATCCTCTAAGATACACAGAGTATTATTATCCATTATACCGATAAAGAAACAGTCCTCAGAAAGGCTCAGAGGCCCTCCCTGTCATCCCAATCTAAAGTAGCTCCCAGCTGCATTCTCTCCAGCTCTGAGACCAAGCAGCCAAATTCCACTGTTTGCAAAGTGACAGATGTGAAGCTAATTTGTCAGCAATTCCACTGCTTTTTAAGCCCAAAGTCTCCTCCTCCTCCCGTAAAATCCTGTTTCTGGTCATTCTTCCACAGGTCTTGGCAGCCTATTATGGTGATCTCCAGTACCTTAACCAGGTCATTGATCAACAATATTATCTTCATGATCACCATCACAAACATATACTGAGAAGTACTATGTACCAGAAACTGTTTTAAGTATTTTTCATGTATTAACTCATGAAATTCTATCCTCACAATAACCTTATAAAGTACTTATTAAAGCTCCCATTTTAGACAAAGAAACTGAGGCACAGAATGGCCAACATCACAGAGCTATGATTTGAACATATGCAATCTGGCTCCAGAGCCTTTACTCTTTACACAATGCCATGTTATGCCAAGAAAGATATTTTGTTCTTAATATGGGGTATTTTAAAAGAGCATTAGACAAAGCATGGAAAAATTTATTTAAATTATAAAGTAAAAAGCTATCTAAAAATGTATGCATTTAAATAAGATGAAAGAACTTTTGTAATTTGTATTTAAATTGAAAATAAGCTAACTGTTATCATAACTTAAGACATTAGTAAGCAATAGTACTACTTTTACATGAATTTTCAGAAAGTAGTTTTTCATTCTATTGGGCTTCAATAATCACTGCTAGGCAAAGAGCCTTGACAATCCTATGGGAATAAACACACATACATGACCACACACACCACATTAGTTTTGCCAAAAATCAATTAGGGTGAGCTATAGCAGAAAAGACATTCATATCTCTATATCACTAGGGAATCTTATGAAACAAATAATAATGCCTAATGACCCTCTGTCTGTCTGTCTCAGATAAAGGAAACTGATTTTTGTTACTTATAGGTTTATAGCATAAGCATTCAGTAATCATTTTTCAGTTTTTCTCGAAGTATTCAAACCATATTCTAAATAGGATCCATTTTTTTAAAACTTGTTTTTCAAAAGAAAATAGAAAATAATAAAAATGTCTTACCTTCTATTCCCAATCTAATCTTCTTAAGACCCCTCTCCTTCAAAACTGATTTGGCCACATCTCGGTTTTCAATGTACTTGAAAAATCTATATAATTTTGTGCTATAAATAACTGGAAACAAAAAGACAAAAAATATTCTCATATTAAAATCAAAGCACCTAGAGATGAACTTAAATTTATCTTGATCATTATAGGGTCCTGACATCCCTAAAAGCCCAAATAATGGATGCAGTAATGCCAAAGGGTGACTAGCCAACATGACAGGACAATGTTCAGTACAGTTAATGAAGAAGCAAAGGTCTACTTAAGTGGAAACAAGAAAAGCTTTGATAACCAATCAGGTAACCCAATCCATAGGAAGACTCTCCTTCTGAAAGATACGTCATATACACACTTATTGGAATGGGATCTGCCCCAAGTTTCAAACAAGAAAACCAAAAGAATATATCAATATCACATCATTATGAAGCAGGCAAAGTAAAGGACTTTGATAAAATGCCTACAAGGCCTAGACTAGAGAGGGGAAAAGTGCCTTGTCAAAAATAGTACAAAACAGATACATTTTACATTTCATGGATTGAGCAACTATTAATAATTTCCCAAAATGCAAATACCCTCCCCACAAACTGTTTTCCATTCAGGTGAACAGTCCCATTTAATACTGATGTTAAAAATGGCAGATTCGAGCAAGTTCTGCCTAGGTTAGTCTGTTTAGAGCAAACTGGCTTTGCAAAGGACAGACATTCCACTGACAACATGTTGAGTCTTCCAAATGTGCTGGGAACTTCAGGGAGTTAGACTGATGGACTTTCCTCGCCTTCTCTTTTTCAGGTGGAGTTATCTCCCTTAAAAGGTGAACTGCAAAGGTTTTTTCAAAAAAAGAAAAAATACACTCACAAACCAAACGTGCTGGTTTAAGAGCCAATTTAAAAGGAAATACATTAGCACCCTTCTGATTTTTGGTAACCTTTCATTTTTTCTGTGTTCTGTTCAACTTTTTATTCCACATATTATTACAGGAAATCATTGTCAGCAAAGAGCCTAGACTGAGGAAATATCAACAGAAATGCCTCTTACTACAACTACCTACAAAAGAATCACAACACTCATTTAAGTACATCATGCAACAGAAATATCTCAATGTAAACCTGAAAAGTGCTATCATAACTGTGTTAAAATAATCTTTTGAAAATCTTCTTTAGGAGTCAAAAAGAATACAATTTGAAATCTGCTTTATTTCGTTTTTAGAAAAGGGTATGTTGGAACTGGCCTGTTAGCTCACTTGGTAGAACATGGGGCTGGTGACACCAAGGTCAAGGGTTTGGATCCCCTTACTGGGCAGTGGCCAAAAAGAAGAAGAAGAAGAAGAAAAAAAAAAGGTACATAAAATGGAAAAATTAGAGATTAATTTTTTAATTAATTGGGTACTTTCTATAATTCCTCTTCTTTTTACTTAAACCCTAATCCTTACCGAGTCAATAGACTGGAGTACAGAACAAGATGCTGGACTATTTTTCTCAGTTCCTAGAGTCATTCTTTCAACTCTTCTTCTCAATCTATGAAATTAGCCCAAAATACTAATATTGGGTTCACCAAGAAAAATAATAGATTTTCAATGAAAAACATCAAAAGACTCTAATCAAAAGTTTGGAGTGAAATAAAACAAGTTAGTCACTAATGCTCAAGATACGCTGTTTTGGTCAGAATTACCTAAAAGAACTATAGTTCCACAAAGTTTTCTGAAGGGTCATTGTCTTCTCCAGGAACACATAAGATATTTTAAAAACATCTTAAAACTTAAAGTTATCCTTGAAATCAATGAGTTAAAGCTTCTAAATTTATATAAAAACAAAAAAGCTCATTTTTTTAAAAAAGCTATCCTTATATTCTACTACTCCGGGAACTACTTCTCCAGCGTGCTTCTAAATACAAAGAAAAAAATCTATCAAGATCCAGATAGTTAACAAAGGGCAAACAACTTCTGTGTATGACAGGGGTGGGCATACTTTTTCTATCCAGGGCCAGACAGTAAATATATGGGCTTTGCGAGCCATGCAGTCTGTTGCAACTACTCGACTCTGCCACTGTAGCGTGAAAGCAGCCATAGGCAATACATAAAACTTTATTTTATTTATAAAAATAGGCGGCAAGCTGGATTTGACTCAGAAGCTATACCTGGTGTATGGTAAAAATTCAATGCACTTTCTTTACAAAAACTGTCCTTCAATTAACATTACAGAAAATACAGAGATAATCTGTGATAATTCAGGAGAGAAAAAACATGCCACAACACTTACTTTGTGAATACTCTTCTCCCATCTGTGGTGGATATTCTTCATCCCAATCAACCACATCATCATCTGTAAGCACCACTATATGGCATTCTCTTTCCCCACTTTGGGCACTAGCTACCATGAGAGGAAGGATCATTTCTTCTAGATAAAATTCAAATTGCCTACGAGCACCATCATTTGATAACTCATGCATTAGGGCACCTGAAATGAAACCCACAAAAATATTTTGATTTTTTTGGATAGCTGACTAGTAAAAGAAAATCAGAAGCAAAGCACAAACAAAACAACAGATTAGTTCAACATCTACTTTGGGACCCTACAAATAGTATACTTTACTGGTTATATTTTAGTAACCAAAACTTTTCCTAGGAAGAGTTCTTATAGATTTGTAGAATCTTACAGCAAGAAAAGCCAATTAAAGGCATCCAACACAAGGCTCCTCCATTGTACACATCATGAAGTGATTTGCCTAAGGTTATAAAGCTAATTTGCAAAATTATAATTAAAACCCCATCCCTAGCTTAGGGTACTTTTCACTATATCATATTATCTTCTGTCAACATATGCATTATGTCTTTTTTTTTTTTCCTTTTTTGTCTTTTTTACTGACCGGTAACGGGATCGCAACCCTCGGTGTTGCTCCCGCACCATGCTCAGCCAGTGAGCGGGAACCGGTCTCCACACGGGATCCAAACCCTCGGCGGGAGCGCCGCCACACTCCCAAGTGGCACACTCTCCAGTGCGCCACCAGGCCGGCCCTGCATTATGTCTTAAAGTATATCCTAAAGATACTTTTCAGATCCATATGAACTAAAATAGTTCCCATATCCAATCTCCCACGTTCTCTTTCTCAGATCCACAAGCAGCACTGATATTTCAGTGTAGAAAGAGAAGTGAGATGAGAAGGTCAAGAGAGTTTGGAGTAAGGCAGGTAAAAGACCAAGCAAAACACAACATGGTGCAGAATTCAACAGCAGACTTGACCCTGAACACAAAAGGGGTGAAAGACAGATTTCACCCTTCTTAAGTACAGACATAATGAACAACTGCAACTTCCTAAATGCACAGCAACTAATTCAACTGCTCTGACCTAATCTTTTCTCTTCTATTCTTATTTCAATGGCAATGTCCTATCTCCTACCTAAGGCTCCACCATCTCAGAAACTACTGCTACTGCATCAGCCTGGAGGGAGAAGTTGAAGAAGCAACCTGTGTGAGTGTGTGAAAGTGTGTGAGAGTGTGTTTGAGGGTATGTATAGGAATTGGGGGAGAGTTAGAGAAGGACACTAGAACTCAACTCCACAGTCTCCCAAGAAAGAGCTTTTCCCCTCTACAATATGTTTTCTCTATAACTATATAATAATTAATAATACTATATAATTAATAATACAATAAATGATTGATTAAATAATAATTATATTACTGTTACTTAGCCATATCTCTCTCTAAGCTGGCTATTTCCCATTATCATTTTTTAAAAATTCTCTTTATAGCTAAATTTCTGTGTCTCAACACATTCTCTTTCCCCTAACTTCTGAGCCAATTCCAATCTGGCTTCGACTCTCACTGCTCTATAAAAACTGCTCTTGCTATTTCCCATTATCATTTTTTAAAAATTCTCTTTATAGCTAAATTTCTGTGTCTCAACACATTCTCTTTCGCCTAACTTCTGAGCCAATTCCAATCTGGCTTCGACTCTCACTGCTCTATAAAAACTGCTCTTGCTATGGTCCCCAAATGGCCTCTATATTGTTAAAGACAACGAACATATTTGGTCCTAATCCTATTTGACCTTTCAGTTGGTTGTTGAATCTCTTACACTGGACAGACCTCTCCCTCTTTCTCGAAACATCCTCATCCCTAGGAATCTCTGATACCATTATTCATGGTTTTTCTCTCCTCAACAGGCACCTCTAACTCAATATATCTAAAATTGAACTTATCATTTCTCAGAGTTTTCCAAATCAGTAAATGGCATCACCATCCACTAAGGTTCTCAGAATCATCTCAGAACAGTACTAGGTATATAATAGGCATTTAAACATTTGTAGAATATCCTTGAGTCTTCTTTCACATCCTAATTCAAATTATTCCCCATGTCCTCTTAAACATATCTTGAGAATTGTGTCACTTCCTTCCTCTGGGAGATGATATTTTTCAAAGATGGGTGCAAAATCTCTTATGCCACATGTTTTTCTTCCGGGTGACCCTGACATCTCCTACCAAAAGGTGGAGTCTAATTCCCCACACCTTTAATCAGCCAGGTCATAACAGATTTGCTTGTAACCAGGGGAACATGGTAGAGGTGATAGTACATAACTTCTCCTAAGCCTGACTTAAGCCTCTGAATTTTTTGCCTTGGTGTCTTTGAACCCAGCCTCCAGGCTTTGAGCAGTTCAAGTTGTGTAGAGAGGCCATATGTAGGCACTCTGTTTGACATTCCTAGCTGAGCCCAGTCTTTGAGACATCCTAGTCCGGAAACCAGACATGTGAATGAAGCCTCTAGTCTTCTGAATCACCCCGGCCCTTCAATTCTTCACAGATGAGGGCCCCAGGCATCGTGAAGCAGCCATAAGCCACCTGTGCTATGCCTTGTCTGAATTCTTGACCCACAGAATCAATGATCATTGAGAGTAATAAAATGGTCGTAGTTTTATGTTACTAAGTTTGGGATGGTTTCATAGTAATAGTTAGCCAGACACATTCCATCTTCCTGCCCCCAACATGGTCCAAGTCATCATTAACTCTTACCCAAACTATTGCAAAAGCTTTCTAATTACATTCCCTCAACATCTGCTTTTGCCCCTCTGTAATTCATTTTCCACACAGCAACCAAATCTAATTAATTGTCTCTGTTATTTTAAAACTCTTATGAATGACTTGTACTACCTTTAGAATAAAATTCCCTAATTTTCAACTTGGTCCATGTCTGTTTTGCATTGCTGTAACAGAAATATCTGAGACTGGGTAATTTATAAAGAACAGAGGTTTATTTGGCTTATGATTCTAGGACAGTTGCAACTAGCATGGGCCTCAGGCTGCTTCTGCTCATGGTAGAAAGCAGCAAGCAGCTGGCAGGTACAAGCAGATCACATGGCGAGAAGAGAGAGAGAGAGACAGAGAAGGTGCCAGGGTCTTTTTAAACAACCAGCTCTCACAGGTAACTAATAAAGCGAGAACTCACTCACAACCCCCACCCTCCAGGGAGAGCATTAATCCATTCATGAGGGATCCACCCCCATTACTCAAACAGCTTCCAACACTGTCACATTGGGGATCAGATTTCCAGATGAGTTTTGGGGGGGACAACACATCCAAACTCTATCAGTCCATAAAGCTCTGTTATATGAAAAAGGGTGTACAATCAGTTCTTTAAAAAAATATATTTTCTTTAAATACTATCAATATATTGCTGTAGTGGATTGAGTGTCCTGCCCCCCAAACTCACTGAAGCTTGAACTCTGTCCCCCAAGTTTTATGTATTAGAAACTTTACCCCCAGTAACTGCTGGGAGGTGGGAAATCCTACTATGGTAATTGAAAGGTCGGGCCTTGAAGAGGTGATTAGATGCCATAGTGAATGGATTACTAATGACGGCCAGGGGTGTGGATCTGAATGCTTTAAAAGGAGAGTCCAGGAGGAGCTTTCTTTCTCTCTGCTCTGAATTTTCACAATGTGATACGCTGCTGTCACTAAGGTAACCACCAAAAAAAGCCTTCACCAGATGTGTTCCTTGGACTTTGGACTTTCAGCACCCAAAACTGTAAGCAATAAATTTCATTTTCTTATAAATTGCCCAGTTCCAGATATTTTGTTAAAAGCAACAGAAACAAGCTAATATAATTGCTGACTCCCATTTATATCTAGCCCACATTTTTCTCTCGAATTTTATACATGTATATGTACCAATTCCCCACTCAACATTTCCACATCAATATCTAATAGGTATATCAAACTTAACATGTCCAAAATCAAGCTACTAAATTTGTGCTCCCCACGAAGTCTCCCTGTACTGGACTGAATTATGTCCCCCCAAAACTCACAGAAGCTTGAATTGTATCCCCCAAGTTTTATGTATTAGAAACTTAGCCCCCCCATGACTGTTAAGAGGGTGGGAAATCCTATTATGGTAATTGAAAGGTGGGGCCTTGAAAAGGTGATTGAATTGTAGGCCCATGCAGTAGTGAATGGATTAAAAATGGTGGTCAGGGTGTGGTTCTGAGGGCTTTAAAAAAGGAGTCTGTCTCTTTCTCTCTCTGCTTCCACCATCTTGCAATGTGAGACCCCTGAGTCACTGTTGCCACCACCAGACACTTTGGACTTCCCAGACTCAGAAACTGTAAGCAATAAATTTCATTTTCTTTATAAACCACCCAGTTTCAAGTATTCTGGAAACAGACCATTACACTCCCCCATCTCAATGGTGTATTAGTCCATTATGTGTTGCTATAACAGAATACCTGAGACTGGGAATTTAACAGAGGTTTATTTCACTTACAATTCTGGGACAGCTGTGTCTGACACGGGCCTCAGGCTGCTTCTACTTGTCATGGAAAAGCCGAAAAGCAGCAGGCAGCTGGCAGGTACAACCAGATCACATGGCGAGAGGGAGCAAGAGAGAGAGAGAGAGAGAGAGAGAGAGAGAGGAGGTTCCAGGTTCTTTTATACAACCTGCTCTCACGGGAACTAATAGAGCAAGAACTTACTCATGAATGCCCTCTCCCCCAGGGAGAGCATTAATTCATTCATGAGGGATCCACCCCCATGACTCAATCAGTTTCCAACACTGCCACATTGGGGATCAAATCTCCACATGAGTTTTGGAGGGGACAACACATCCAAACTCGATCAAATGGCAACCCTACACTTCTAGTTAAAGCCCTCTTCTCTCTTTCCTACCCACATCCAATCAACAAGCAAATCCTGACAACTAGAGCATCTAATATATCAGAATCTGATTACATCTCAGTGTTTCCACTCTGATCCAAGCCACTACCATCTCTTTCATGGATTTTGGCAATAGCTTCCTAATTCATCTCTTTGCTTCTACCTCAATTCCCATTTTGGTCCATTTCTAATACAACAGTCAAGAGTCAGATCAGTTTAAACCCTACGTCAGATCAGGACCACAGCACCGAACATTGAATTCTGCATGAACAGTTCCCCCATTAAATGATACAACCAGCAGCCTCACAGACCAT